AAAAGTTTAGCCTCAATTTTTCAAATTTGTCGTTTGTAATCCGTGTTAATCTTCTCCATCCTCAGCCATCCTTGTTCCTTTATGGTTTATCATTATGTCTTTGGTGTTTTCTATCTCATCGAGCAGTTATTTTCAGGTTTCCTATCATTTAAAGGTAATTTTGTATGTGGCCAAAATAATGCAAAATACCATGACTGAGTTCCTTTAAAAACTGGATCACTGGATAATGTAATTCAAAGGTTTTCATTGGTTTAGCTATCATAGGTTATGAGCCATTATACCATGCTCTACAAATATGGAAAGCGTTTGCATGATTTCTTGGGGCGTTTTATATTTACTTTAGATTAGTTTTTTGGGGGTACTTTTAATAAAACAATGTGCCACTCGCTCTTGTTGGATATGATATGATTAAAGCCAACTCGGCACTATGTGCCTTACTGGCTTACAACCATCTCCTTTCCAATGCATGCTTGTGGAATAATTGGTAAGTATCAGGGTGAGATGAAATTTAAAAACTCTACTTGCCCTTCGGGCAAGCTGTAAATTTATCTTACTGGCCTAAATCTCTAAGGAGCTAGCCCGAAATTACTTTATTTATAAGGCTAATTAAATCAATTTAAAATGCAAAAATGATGTTAATTATCAATATGGAGCTAAGATGAACTAATTCTCTTTGATTTCCCTTTTGAATTAAACTTCATACAATAAAACATTTTGAACCCTTAATGTGTGGGTTTTCCGTTCAAGGGGGCTTCACAGTACTCCCCCCACCCCCTGAAATTTCCATGACTTTTATACTTGGGTCTCCCTATCCCTTGGAAATTTCATATCCATAAATAACAAGACTAAAGGCATTCGTTTTAATCTCCTAGGTATTGTAATAAAATTTAGCCGCAGCTATTCATACTCAGTGTTTCAGCCACAAAAATTTTACTTGAGGGCCAAAGTGGCCCCTGAAGATCTTTTTTAGGGGCCATTCTTTTAGGAAAGGGGCCACTAAATTGAAAGCTACAGAAAGAAAAAATGCATCAGGATACCAAAAAAAATAAAGCAGTTTATTAGAATCTATGATAAAATCTAATAGTAAGTGCTTTTTGAAGTGTTTGTCCTCAATAAAGTTGCTTTTGAATCAGATACTACTCAGGGCTCGAAAAATATTTGAATTTCATCTTGCCCATTGGGCAAGTAACTCTCAAAGTTTGCTTGCCCAGGGCACTTCCCCGCTTGTCCAAGTTTTCAAACTCATTAATAATTCATGAACCCAAAAATGGAAGTCAAACTACAGGCACGTTT